ACAGGATCTTGGGTAGAGAAATAAAATCCAACTTAAGAGTGGACCTATTTATATTCAGGGGCTGTCTCAAGGAGATGAGAAATCTAGGCACAAGAGATGAATTGTAAAAACTAACAAAGGCCCTAATTAGCAGAATCCCACTGTGGTTACATATAAGGAACTAGTGTGAGCACTGCCTTGGAAGCAAAAGTAACTTACTTTGTAAGTTGGAAATTCAGAGAAAATATCCAACTCCATTTTTGCCAGCTTAAGGAAGAATTCTTGGAAGAAGTGGACTATTAGGAAAAAGTGGTTAAAACGGTTTTCCTTTTCAAGTTTCCCTACTGAACTTAAAATACAGTAATTTTTTAAAAATACAATAAATTCTTTTTTAAAGCAGACAAGCTGACAGTCAATCTGAACACCTGACACGAACGAGAGACTGCATGGAATATGCATCCCATCCCTGCCCCGACTCCCAACCATAAGCTTGTGCTAAAGGTAAACTGCCATCCTTAACACTCCAGATTACTGAACACAGGGAGAATGCCACGTGAAGACTAGCATTAAGATGAGAGAACTTGGAACACTGAGGTATTTCCTTCTAAACTTGCCTTTGGATTCTTTTCTTCAAAATGGAAATGCCAAAGACTGACGGACTGTATTTCTGAAAACAGAAAAGCTGGTTCTATCAGGTATAAAAAGATTAAATACATTATTTTAAAGCACATGGATTACTTCTCTCCTTTGTATCTCAGAAGCTGTCAGTACTTCCCTTTTTCCTTCAGCATTGTGACTAAGAAAAGTTTTAACTGCAAAAGCCAGAGTTAGCCATGTAACAATGGCTTTCCTCTAAAAAAGAAGCCTCAAGTTCTGTCACCAGAACTTCATTTTAACGTCAGGTAGTAGTAAGACCATGGTATACTGAACTGTTCCTGATTATTTCAAGCTAAATACATCTTCCAAATGAATTCTTGATGACTCCTATGAAATAGTTGCTTGTTTGGCTTAATTTTCACATGTCCATTTATGAGATCCCTGCAAACAAAGATAAGGCTTCAAGGTCAGGGACACTTCATTTTATCAGAACTGTGACTCTAGCTCTGACACTTTTCTGATAAAAGTTTCCTTCCTTCTCATAATTTACCACTAAGTCAATACAACATTCAAAAAGACTTCAAAATATACACTAAAATTTTACTGCAAAGAACACTAGCCATCCCACTGATCTTAAATGTATCCACGCCAGAGTTAGTACATGATTTATTCACTTTACATGGACCAGGTTACATGGAACAGGCAGCCCATGGGCCAGGTCCAAGGTGCATTTCCCCGAGCTCAGCAACCATTGCCATGCTTCCTGAGATCCCATTTCCTAAAGAGGTCACAAGTCCTGGTTTCTAGCCATCTCTCAATTTCTGAACATGCTGACAATTTCATTTTAGCTCACTACAAGCCCAGTGAGCCTGCAAGCTCCACACAGCCTACCTTTGGAATTAGGGCTGGAAAACCCAAGGGGAACGTAATATAGTAAACGGGGCTCATCTGAGTGCCAGTCAAAGCTGCAACGGGCTTCACGAACTGCTTTTTGTTCTACTGAACTCTGCTTTCACCTCTTTTCCTGTACTCCCAACCACACAAAGGAACAGCCCTTACTATTTAACATACTACTATCATCCTTTCTTGTCAGCATAGGTATTTTGGGTTTCGCTGTTCAATACGATGAGGACACAAAAGAATAACAAACACCATACAGCAAGGCATCGAGCACCCAAGCTTCTCTAGCAGTGATTACCTTTGCCTGGACATAACACCGTAGGAAGTGATTCAAACAAAAATCTGACCACTGACATGACAAACACTCCCCACCCTACCCCACCAAAAAACAAACAACAAACACAGAAAAGTCTGCATTTGAGCCTTAAAGAATTGTCTGAATAAGGACAGTGGCAAAATTCTGAGTATACAGGCCATCACCAACTCATACAATCCCTATTCACAAGGCAAATGAACTTTCTTGTATATAACCCTCCAGATAATGAAAGCAGATAAATCATCAAGGAGTAAAAAGTTGTGAGCTGTCTAAAGCTTCTAAGTCAGCACTGGATCCTCTCTCGGAAGCATCAAGTGTGAATAAAAGCTCAGCATTCCTTTCTCTGCTCAGCCAACAAAACAAATATCCCACAGCCCCAGGCCACAGCAGCTGCTAAATAAATCACCCTCCAAATTCTTTCCCCCATTCACCCACCTCTATCCCCTGTCCTAAGTAAGCACCCGGAATGCCTTAGCCCTGCCGGCCAACACTGTGTCTGACCACACTGGCCACAGATGTCCAAATGCCCAGAATGGCTGTTTAAATTAGTGGGGAAAGGCAGGCATGTTAATTCTTCCATTTCCCAGTTCCCTTAGGTCACTTATGAGAATCAAATTTAAAACAGTTACTCTCCAATCTGGAATGTAAGTTTCAAAAAAAAAAAAAAACACAAAACTTTCTTCTGTAGATTTCCATAGAAACCACTGCACCACATAT